GGTTAAGAGCAGTAGTCTCGTAATCTGGGGAACCGGGTTCGTGTCTCCGCTCCTCCACATGCAGCTGCTGGGTGACCTTGGGCCAGTCATACTTCTTTGAAGTCTCTCAGCCCCACTCACCTCACAGAGTGTTTGTTGTGGGGGAGGAAGGGAAAGGAGAATGTTTAGCCGCTTTGAGACTCCTTAAAGGGAGTGAAAGGTGGGATATCAAATCCAAACTCCTCTTCTTCTTCTTCTATGTGAAAAAAATAGCATGAGAATTGCCACACAGATTTCTGTTTCCAAGACAAAACCCATATGCCTGAGATCCAGTCCATTATCTTTGATACAAGCATAAATTAGTAAGCATCTTGCCTCCCCTCTTAACCAAAAGTTTTTGATCCTAGAATACTATATTTGCTTCTGGATAGTGTGTTGTGTATTTTGTCTTTTCAGCATATTGAATTATTGCTATTCATATGTATATCTGTATGGGGAATATCTAGTTACCTTTCATTCTCCCCCCCCCCCCCACAGCAGACCAGTTCAACTACCACTTTTTATCTACTTTAAAAATTAAAACTACATTGACCACTTAGGCTGGGAAAAACTGGAGGCTCATTTTGTGCTAGACTCAGTTGCAACAAACAAATCAGCACAGTCCATTACCCAGTGTATTGCACTTAATACAGAGTATCATAAACAGGTTTCCCTACTATTCCCTACAGGTTTTATCAAGGTTTCCCTACTATTCAGTTATATTATCCTAAAAAGCCAGAACCCAAAAGCTATCACTTTGCTTGCAGTCAGATAAATAAGGTACTTCAAATTAAATCACCCAATTGGGGTGGGCAAAAAGCAGGTGGTTGTAATCAAGGCACTTAATGCAATCAGAGCTGTGAGTGAGTGTATTTTTCTAATCCTTTCAATGTGTGTTCCTAGCAGATGAAGTGGGATTTGAAAACCACTCTGTAATTGCCAGTATAAAAACAGGAGTCGTTATCCCAAAGTACAAGTGTGCAACTTTGTATCTGTAATGCAGGTAATTAAAAAAATTATGATGGGTACAATGCATTTCGGGAAAATTTATAATCTATCTTAAAAAACATTGTAAACAGCCAAAATCCGTTCAAGGGATTGGAATAACACTTGCAAAATATTTGGATCATTATAAAAGATGCAGGAGGAAATGAGTAACAATAGGACCCACAAAGCGGAAGAGGGAAGTCCAGGAGATTGTGTGGAAGCTTGTTTCTATATTTTATGTTGATTTGTGATAGTAAAAATTTAATTTGAAAAACCCACAAATAAATAAATTTACCAAAAAATCATCATCATCACCCTTTTTCCCCACCCCCGGTTTTTGGGGGACGGTGGTTTCGCGGGGTTTTATTGCAAGGCTTGCAAACGACTGTCTGCCTTGAGCGACTTTAAAAGTTCCCACGATAGCTGAAAATATTGAGGAAGGGGACTCGGAGATAGAAGCGAGGAGTCCACCCCGCCAAAAAACACACAAAAAACACCCCAACCAAAACACGAGAAAGAGCGCCATGAAGGGACTCGACCCCTTTCTTTCTCCTCAGCTGCAGATGGCGGGCGGGGGGGGGTGTCGTGAAATCTCACCTTCCTCTCTCGGCTTTTGCGCTCTTCCCTGCGCCTCTCAAACTCCTCGAAGGAGATTTTCCCTTCCAGGTACTCGATAAGTTCGGGGCTGAACCCCGACATTTTTGCAGCGGGGGCGAAGGAAGCAACAATCCAGAAAGCCTTGTTTCCGCAAAGAGCGAGGAGGCTGGGGGAGTTATTAATGCGAGGGACCAAACGGTCCGGCACTTAAAATAGTCCGGACTGAAACAAGGAAGGACGCCGGGGGCGTGGAGGACGCTGTGTGCGCATGCGCCAATATTGCACGTGAAGGCCGTCGTTTCACGCAGTTCTGTAAACCTGCGCTAGGAAGAGAGAAAAGGGCATCTATTCTCTGCCCTGGGAGGATGGGAACGTCAGTAGCATATCGTGATCAACGTTTATATTACTGAAGCTTGGTGTTTGGAAGAGAATGGCCACCTTTTTCCCCGGGCAGAAATGACCTGACCTGGGCAGAAATGTTACACGTCGTGATTTTGTTGTTGTTTAGTCGTGCTACTCTTATGAAGATTTTTGCTAAATGCCTTCTCTTTACAGTCAGCCATAAACAGGGCTATCAATGCTGGTAGACGTTAAGGGTGACAGTGAAGAAGAAGAAGAAGAAGAAGAAGAAGAAGAAGAAGAAGAAGAAGAAGAAGAAGAAGAAGAAGAATTAATACCTCACTGATCTGGCTGGGTTGCCATCTATCTATTCTAAGTCAGCTCTGCTGGTTGTTAAGTTCTTGGCCCCATTCATGGTGGGATGAAAGTTAAATTTGTTGTTGTTGTTTAGTCGTTTAGTCATGTCCGACTCTTCGTGACCCCATGGACCAGGCACTCCTGTCTTCCACTGCCTCCCACTTGGTCAAACTCATGTTCGTAGCTTCAAGTACACTGTCCCACCATCTCGTCCTCTGTCGTCCCCTTCTCCTTGTGCCCTCCATCTTTCCCAACATCAGGGTCTTTTCCAGGGAGTCTTCTCTTCTCATGAGGTGGCTAAAGCATTGGAGTCTCATCAGTGGCGTAGCGTGGGGGGTGCAGGGGGGGCCGGCCACACCGGGCGCAACATCTGGGGTTAGGGCAAATCCACAGGTTAGGGGGCGCAAATCCACAGGTTAGGGGGCGCAAATCCACAGGTTAGGGGGCGCAAATCCACGGGTTAGGGGGCGCAAATTACTTGCCTTGCCCCGGGTGCTGACAACCCACGTTACGCCACTGAGTCTCATTTTCAGCGTCTGTGCATGCACAGAAGCACCTAACATGCTCTGTTACTTCCAGGTCACCACAGAGCGCAACCCAAAACTACTTAACCTGAAGCTACTTCAACCCGAGGTATGACTGTATATCCCAACCTCTCCTTAAAAGAGTTTAAGGTGACACACATGCTTCTCCACTCCCCCCCCCTTACAGCAACCCTGTGAGGTAGGGTTAAGCCAAGAGGCAGTGACTGGCCCAAGTTCACCGACTGATCTTCATTGGGATTTGAACCCTGGTCTCCCAGGTCCTAGACTGATACTCTAACCACTACACCACACTGACTTGTTGTTTCAGAGGGCAGGTGACAACTGAGTTACTAAGGCTAGGAGGAGGAGTGAAAGGGCAATACGGATAGAGAGGCAAGGATGGCCAAGCCATGGGCAGCTCTATTGTTGTTTAGTCATTTAGTCGTGTCCGACTCTTCGTGACCCCATGGACCAGAGCACGCCAGGCACTCCTGTCTTCCACTGCTTGGTTAATCTCATGTTCGTAGCTTCGAGAACACTGTCCAACCATCTCGTCCTCTGTCGTCCCCCTCTCCTTGTGCCCTCCATCTTCCCAGCATCAGGGTCTTTTCCAGGGAGTCTTCTCTTCTCAAGAGGTGCTCAAAGTGTTGTAGCCTCATCTTCAGGATCTGTCCTTCCAGTGAGCACTCAGGGCTGATTTCCTTCAGAATGGATAGGTTTGATCTTCTTGCAGTCCATGGGACTCTCAAGAGTCTCCTCCAGCACCATAATTCAAAAGCACCCATTCTTTGGCCATCAACCTTCTTTATGGTACAGTTCTCACTTCCATACATTGCTACTGGGAAAACCATAGCTTTAACTTTACGGACCTTTGTTGGCAAGGTGATGTCTCTGCTTTTTGAGATTCTGACTGGGTTTGTCGTTGCTTTTCTCCCAAGAAGCAGGCGTATTTTAATTTCGTGACTTCTGTCACCATCGGCAGTGATCATGGAACCCAAGAAAGTAAAATCTCTCACTGCCTCCATTTCTTCCCCTTCCCCAAGAGAATGGCCACCTTTTTCCCCTGGGCAGAAATGACCTGACCTGGACAGATATGTCACACACTGTGGTTTAGTTTATATAAAATATGCTGGGATTTATGGTATGCAAAATGAACCATGGAAAGAGAAGGAGAGTAGCTGGGGAAACCCAGCCAGATGGGTGGGTATTAATATTATTAATAAATAATATTTTAAGGTTGTTTAAATGAATGTTCTAAAATGTAGAACAGAAAATTCAATAAAAAATGTACAGTGCAACCAAGCACAGAGGTGTACCTAGGAGTTGTATTGGTGTCTTGTCCTGGGGGGGGGGGGGATAAATCACTTTACTGCAACAACCAGGGTTTCTTTTCCACAGGAACTCACAGGAGCCTAGTGGGGCATGCTTCTAAGAGAACAAGGGTTTGTGGTGAGTTCCAACACCTCTCTCTTCTAGAAAAATAGAACTGGCAACAACCATATTTGAAATGGTTACCTTTTACACGGCCCAAGTCCTCAAAGCATCTGGAGTGAAGGCAAAAAAATAAGCACGCCTTTGTGCCGCGGTGCAAGGGCAGGAAGCTTCTCCCACGCAGAGGAGTCAACTTCTAGGGATCAAGGGGCTTCACACCTATAAAATATTTGAGGGGGCTGCCCCCCCCAAAGTTGATGAGCACTGCCATTCAAATGGTGTGCATGCATGGTGTCATGTGAACATAGCCTGCCCCCCCCAATATTTTATTAAAGTTGGCACCCCTGCTCTCATGTTAAGAGTTTTGTCACCACACGCAAAATTTTATGGAATTGTAAAACTCAACAATTTGGCCAGAAATGTTTTGATTTATACTCAGAAGGCATCTGGACTGCAACTTAATTATGAAACGGGTGATATCTGTTTAAAAACATTCATTCGCGTAGCAATTTACTATATCTGAGGTGCAATTTATTTATATTCAAGTCACAGATCTTTGGTGGGTATAATCTGAGTTTCTACTTTATTTAGAGTCAAGCAAATAAAAACAATAAGCAAAATGTAGGCTTCTATATGTAGTATATTTAGGGGAAATAGTGCCTTGTCAATTAATTAACATTTATTAGATTTCATAGATGCTTTGAAACAAACGGGAGTCCTTTTCTTCTTTTTTACCTCTTGTTTTTTCTTTCCCTTTCTTTTTCTCAACTTTCTTGCAGTTCTCCATAGTGGTTCATACAGCAGTGTATCAAACTCTGACTTTTGTTTTCTGGGTTTCTGGGGTTTTTCCTCTTGTTATTCTGTCTCTCACAGCTACAATAAACCTACCGTTAAAATTATGGACTGGTCATTTCTTTGTCAGAGGGGAAACGGGCAATTTTAGCAGGGGATCAAATACTTCCCCCCCCTCACTGTATCAATGAATGTAATGTCAGAGGAACAATGGCCGCGGTTGCTAGGTTGCTAAGGTCATTGTGACACACCTTACACGCCTCATGAACGTGTCAGGTGAGCAAAGGTGATTTGGCAAGAGAGAAGCATCATGCTTCTGTTGGCCATTTTGTGACCGCTTCTAACATTTCTGTATTGAGACAGAGAGAGAGAGTGTGTGACTGAGTGTGTGAGGGGGGGAAATGTAAGTTGGATTTCTTAGCTGATTCTGCCTTCTGGTTCCAGCTTTGTCTAGGGCAGTCTGAGGGGAGCTCCTTTCTCCCCAGGCAATGCAGCATAGCTAGCGATAGCAAATAGTCAATAATCCTAACCATGGTTACCACCACAGTGCCTTCCATATGTCCTTGGACTCCAACTGCCATCATCCCCAGCCAGCACAACCAGGGATGATGGGAGTTGTAGTCCAACAGTGTATTAGCTCCCCCCTGCCCTGATCTAAACCTTCAAGCACTTCCTTCACAAGATAGCCTATTTGCCTATGATAGCAAGCACATGTGGCCCCAGTTCAGTCCAGGCGTGTTGAGTAGGAGGACACTGCCAGCCTATCTTCTCCCACTCTGTTTTAGGCTGTCAAAGCTGCAGAAGCTGTTTTCAAAGAGCAACTCCAAACAAGATCTGGGGAAAGGAGGAAGCGACAGCCAGGATGCTGCAGCTTCATCGAATGCCAAGCCCCAGGACCGGAGGTTTGAACATTTCTATAGCCATAAGGAAAGCAGTGCGGGCGAAGTTGCATTCTCTTCCCTTCCCAAGCTGAAATGGTTCCATCTGTCCAGGAGAAAGAACTCTATCACGCTGAGGAATTGGGATAAACTAAGCACGTTCTGGAGCTGCTGTGGAACCCAAAAGGTCTGGTCCCAAGAATGTAAGGTTCTGGAACCTAAGGAAGAGTCAAGGAGCTTGTCCACGGTTTTAGGTGAGGAGATGCCCTGGGTTCTTGAGAGGGATTCTGCATGGGAGGAGAGGGTTGGAGGAGAAATGGAATTACCGTATTTTTCGCACTATAGGACGCACTTTTTCCCCTCCAAAAATGAAGGGGAAATGTGTGTGCGTCCTATGGTGCGAATGCAGGCTTTTGCTGAAGCCTGGAGAGCGAGAGGGGTCCGTGCGCACCGACCCCTCTCGCTCTCCAGGCTTCAGGAAGCTATCCCAAGTCTTGCAAGCCCGGCGGGATGTCCCGCGGGCTCGCAAGGCTTGCGGGCAGCAGCCTGCACCCAAAAGCTGGGGACAGCGGGGAGGCGCAGAGCCGCCACCCCGCTATTCCCCGACCTGATCTGGAGGCTGGCGGGGGGAGAAGCAAGCCTGCTTCTCCCCCCCAGCCCCACAAGCTCGGGGGATAGGGGGATGGCGAAGCGCCGCCATCCCGCTATTCCCCGACCTGAACTGGAGGCTGGGGGCGGGAGAAGCAGAGTGTTTGTTGTGGGGGAGGAAGGGAAAGGAGAATGTTGGCCGCTTTGAGACTCCTTCGGGTAGTGATAAAGCGGGATATCAAATCCAAACTCTTCTTCTTCTACCTAATTCACACTTTATGAAACAATATGTGAACTGGAACACAACCATCTTTTGAAATTAACACTTCTCTGAATTTTGCAGTAAAGTGTACAAAAATGGATGTACTAGGACAAAGTGTGTATACAAGTGTATATATTAGTAGAGAGAAGATACAAATCTATTGTGTTACAGTAACTTGCTTTAAAAAGATGTGTCTACTGTCATACCTTGGTTGCTGCCTTGGAACTTGTACATTTCAGCTCCCGAACGACTGAAAACTGGAAGTGAGTGTTCAGGTTTTCAAATGATTTTCAGAAACTGAACGTCTGGTGTGGCTTCTGCAGCTTCTGATTGGCTGCAGGATGTTCTTGCAGCCAATCGGAAGCCGCTTCTTGGTTTTCAAACAGTTTTGGAAGTCTAACGAACTCCTGGAACACATTCTGTTCGAGAACCAAGGTACGACTGTATTAGGAGAAATTTGCACTATAATGTTAACGAATTTCCCTGAGGACTTTGCAAACTGGGTGTGGAAATTTGGGGAACTGGATTTAGGATTAGAAAAATGAGAAACTGAGAGAAATTGAAATGGATTCACCCATCCCTAGGGTGGGTGAGGTGGAGGATTTTATGAAGATGCCAGAGGCTTAGAGTGTTGTCAGGAATGTGCAAATTATTCAACAAGAAGAAGCTAGGTCTCTTTCAAGAAGGTAAAGGTAAAGGGACCCCTGACCATTAGGTCCTGTCGTGGCCAACTGGGGTTGCGGTGCTCATCTCGCTTTATTGGCCAAGGGAGCTGGAGTACAGCTTCTGGGTCATGTGGCCAGCATGACTAAGCCACTTCTGGCAAACCAGAGCAGCGCACGGAAACGCCGTTTACCTTCCCGCCGGAGCGGTACCTATTTATCTACTTGCACTTTGATGTGCTTTCAAACTGCTAGGTGGGCAGGAGCTGGACCGAGCAACGGGAGCTCACCCCGTTGCGGGGATTCGAACCACCAACCTTCTGATCGGCAAGCCCTAGGCTCTGTGGTTTAACCCACAGCGCCACCCGTGTCCCATTTCAAGAAGGTAGGGGATACTAATAAGAAGGTAGGAGATGCTAATATGCCTTCCTGTTCTCTGTTTACCCCTCTCAACTCCTAGATTCAACATCAACAAGCCTCAACCATTTCTCCACCTCCTCTGTCTTTTCATCTACTTCCAACGGGTCAGATGTGAATGACAGCATTGAACTTGATGGTGATGCCGTCAACATCATCCTCAAGCGCATGGAGGAGGAAGACAAGGTACAAAACCCCTCAGCACATGGTGCTTACTGCACATGGTACTTCTATAGTACTACTAATGTGCTTGCTTGGGAAACGTGATTCTACAGATGTCTGAAGCCTATTTCTGTTCTGTGAGTTCTGTGAGTTCTTCACAAATAGCAGCTGCTTGGGAGAATTAAGTTGGATGCTAGTAGCAGCTCCTACTGTAATATCCTTGCCAGGCTATTGTCAAGTCTGGTAGAGCTGGCCCAGAAACAAGCATGTTTTGGCCAAATGAACACAAACACATAATCAGGAATGTAGAGTCTTGGGACTGGGTAGAGGAGCATGTGCACAAGGTTCCTGGGAAAGAAAATGGAGCCAAGATCTGAGGACTTAACCAGGAAAGGAGTACTTGCTAAAAGGAAATAGTATACAAGATTACCGTATTTTTCGCTCTATAGGACGCACCCGACCATAGCACGCACCTTGTTTTAGAGGGGGAGAATAAGAAAAAAAATTCTCCCCCTCTCTGCGCAGCGCCCCTTCAGCGAAGCAGCAGGAGAAACGTAGCTCCTTTAATTTCTCCTCCCACTTGGCTGAAGGGGCGCTGTGCACCTCTCCCTCTCTGCTGAAGCTGGGAGAGTCTTGCTCTCTCGGCTTCAGCAAAAGGAACCTGAAGCCTGCGGAGCGCAGTGGGAATTCGCACTGCGCTCCAAAGGCTTCAGCGGCTATCCCTGAAGCCTGGAGAGTGAGAGGGGCCGGTGCGCACTGACCCCTCTCGCTCTCCAGGCTTCAGCGAAAGCAACGCGAAGCCTCCGGAGCGCGGCAGGAGCGCTCCCACTGCACTTCTGAGGCTTCGCGTTGCTATCGCTAAAGCCAAGGAGCCTGCATTCGCTCCATAAGACACACACACATTTCCCCTTAATTTTTGGAGGGGAAAATGTGCATCTTATAGAGTGAAAAATACGGTACATTCACCTTACTGAAGGTTCTCCCAGAAGGGAGAGAGTGAAACAGCCACACCCAGAGAGGATGAGAATAGGGGGTTTGGGTGAGAAGTGACCAGAAAGATGGGGCAGGAGGGAGGATGAGTGAAAGAGAGAGCTTTTACCTAGCCCTGAGTTTGCTGAGATGCACAGAGGGAGGGAGGATGAGCAGTCTCCACAGGGGCAGGCTTGGACCCATGCGGGAAGGTCAAGAATCCCAGGCAGCAGTGGGGCATCCACCATGCAGGAGAAAATAAATCTAGCCACAGTAGGAATTCCACTGGGCAGAAACATAGGAAGATACAGGGCCGGCCCACCCGTCAGGCAAGATGAGGCGACTGCCTCAGGTGGCAGGATCCACAGGGGCAGCAGATCTGGCCTCCCAAGGAATGCACAGTGACACTGACTTATTTTCTTTCTCATGGAGGGTTGTGTAGCTAGAACCATCAAAAAAAGGAATGAACTGTTTTCGCTACAAAGTGGAAACGCAAGATCCCAGTTACCCTCTTTTGAGCTCATCACTTTTCTAGTTCTGTAGCGTCTCTGAGCAGTTGTGAAACAGGTGGGTTAATTCTGCAGTTCAGTTCTCATTCCGAGCCAACCAGGAAGGATGTCTAGGACACATCAAGAAAGGCTCGATAATGCCCTCTCCTAACAGCCCCGGTTCTCTCTCAACTTACAGAGCAAACAGGATGAAAACGGGGACATTAGTTTCCTCAGCGCCATCTCCGCTTTATGCATCGCTACACAGCATAAACGACGGAACAAACTGAAACTTCTGTACACCAAAGACGAATTAACAGAGGCTGTCGTGGTAAGTGAGGTGCAGCATCAGAAATCCAGTCAGGAGGTGGCAGCTAGCCAGTAGATGAGAGGCACGAGGTCTGAATTTGGGGTTAGTTCTGTGGAAATAAACGTGGGAAGTGTGGAAGGACTATGAAACCATTTGTAATAGGGTCACAAAATCCACTTGAAAACACCACACCCTACAAGCATTCAGTTGTAATTCCTTCCCCAAGGTGTTATGCAGAGGACCCCCTTGCTAAGCTTTCTTGGGACTCCCTTGTCTCTGTATTTCTCTGTATTTGTATTTGTCTCTGTGTCTGAAACCCATGTTTCAGTAACAAGTCCTTCTGGGATAATAGGTGGCTGGGGGAAATTGAGTTGGCTGTTAGGGAAACCTCTGCTCTGTGCTGCTCTTGGCTCTATTCCTGACAGAGGACAGACAGTTAATCAGGATGGCAGAGCTGGCCCAGTCTTTGTTTGGATAGTGAAGCATTCCCCTCAAGTTCTGAAGGTGGGAAAACAAAGCTGAGACTTCAGGACTTAATTCCCCAAAGAAGTTTCTATTCAAAGAACAACAAGACAAAGCACAGCCATGTTTCTGAAAACCATCCCAGAAAGGAGGGGTGGAAAATGAGCCAATTAAAAGCAATAAACTAAAAATTTTTAAAAAACGACCAAATTACAGTCCAAATTATTAATTATGAAATTTTTTGGGGGGCTCCCCATAGTCTGGACCTCTGAAGTGTATCTCCAGTATCTTCTTTCCTGCCTCTTCTTGTTGTTTTCATATTTTCCACATTCCAATCTTAACACTTTAAAGTTCTCCGTCCCTGGCTATGTGATTCTCAATCATGTCAGAAATCATATATCCTTTCATCCATTGTGTACAGCTTTATTTGTGTATATATATTTCTTTCAACTGTCTATTTACCAGCGCAGCTTTTCCTGACTTCATTCCAATCTTCCAATCTGGGCTGTTGTCCAAGGCTATCGTCTGAAGTTTAATGACTCAGCAACTCCCAAGTTGTTAAATCATTCTATTCCGGTCTGTTGTCGAAGCCTTTTGTTTGAAATTTAATGGCATAGTAACTTCCACCTTGTTGTTACTGTAAATTGTTGAGCATACTGTTTGCAATACAGTGGTACCTTGGGTTAAGTACTTAATTCGTTCCAGAGGTCCGTTCTTAACCTGAAACTGTTCTTAACCTGAAGCACCACTTTAGGTAATGGGGCCTCCTGCTGCCATTGCGCCGTCGGAGCATGATTTCTGTTCTCATCCTGAAGCAAAGTTCTTAACCTGAAGCACTATTTATTTGTTAGCGGAGTCTGTAACCTGAAGCGTATGTAACCTGAAGCGTATGTAACCCGAGGTACCACTGTATTGCAATGTAAATGAACTGTATTCCACAGATACAAGTCATATGGCGATCTATCAGCCTTCCCAGAGACCACACAATCCCCCCCTTTGGGCCCTAGAAGTGGGGTTGCTAGACATCCATTCAGCCCCCTCTCTCTCGCTCATAAAGGATAGATTATGATATGGATATGTTAATTGGCGGCTTTTATTGGAAAATCAATAAAAAATTATTTAAAAAGAAAAAAAGAAAATGAGTGGTGGGTGGGTGTCAAAATGGTGTGTGTGTGAGAGGGTGGGATATTTCCTTTTGCTTCTAAGTTGCCTTGAGAATAATTTGATAGAAAGATGGGGTATAAGTTATTAAAATGAATTTAAAAAGTGGGGAGGCCTACAGTGACTCTAAGGCTATTCGGCAGCATTCCTGCATTGATGAGGGAGGGAGGGAGATGAAAGATCAGATGGTTGGGAAGGAGAAACAGAGAGAGATTCTATATACTCAAGTCTACAAAATTGCACAGAGGAAAGCAGGGAAATGAGGAATTCTCGACGGCAGGCTTGGATCCAGGCAGGAGATTTTCCAGGGAAAGGAGGTGGAGAGTCTAGGGACCCTCTTTGTAAAGGGAGCATCTGTTGTTTTATGGGTGCTTTGGGTAAATGGCCAGAAAGGAATGCAGGTTTATGCTTGCCTGTTGGGCTAATACGGATCGTGAGACAAGATAGAGGTGCGGGGACAAAATGGGAGTGTGCTGGTAACAGGCTCGTGAATGAGAAAGAGCTTAGACGAAACCATTTGGGATGAAAGTGCCCCATTGAAATCTGTGGAAAGAGGTCCTTCACTTGCTCTGTTCTGGCCCTTGGTCTCTTCCAGGTGGTGATGGAGAAACTCCCGGTTCACTCTGTGCCCACATCAGTTCTACCCTGCTGCATGGTGGCCATTTACAACTTGAGGTATGCCTCTTGAAGACCAGGGATTCCTGATCCTACTAAGAAGCAATTAGCGCGTGCGAAGACCGTTGTATTTGTGATGAATGAGGGTAGAAAATAATGTATTTCCAGGAAAGCAGATGCAACACGGTAAACGGCCCGGGAGAAGCCCAGACAATCGAATACAATAGGTCAAAGACTTTCGAAACAGAAATGGTTGAAAGAAGAAGTGGAGAGGCCGGTACTCTGAGGCTCCAGAAAGGAGCAACTGACTCCCCTTGGAAGTGCCCACACAGATCTTAGAAAGCATTTGTTTTCTCCACACCTTGAGAAATATACTGTATTTTCCACTCCATAAGACGCACTTTTTCCCTCCTAAAAGGTAAGGGGAAATGTGAGTGCGTCTTATGGAGCAAATGGCGCTGTGCAGAGAGGGAGAGCTGCGCAACGCCCATTCAGTGAAGCGGGAGGAGGAACAGAAGGAGACCCTTCTGTTCCTCCTCCCGCTTTGCTGAAGTGGTGCTGCGCAGCTCTCCCTCTCTGTGCAGCGCCTCTCCTGCGAAGGAGAGGTGCTGCGCAGAGAAGGAGAACTGCACAGTGCCCCTTCAGCGACGTGCCTGTCCTGGCTTCTGCCTTAGCCACAGGCAGCCTCTTCGGGCAGGGGGAGCCTTCATCCCGCTGCCCTGAAGAGGCTTGGCGCCATTATCCCAGAAGCCAGAACAGCCACACAGTATCCCAGAAGCCAGATCCCTCTTGCTGTTCTGGCTTCTGGGATTCAGAATAAATTTTTCTTGTTTTCCTCCTCCCAAACCTAGGTGCGCCTTATGGTCTGGTGCGTCTTATGGAGCGAAAAATACGGTAGTCTCCAAGCCCAAGGAGGGGAGTCTGTTCTCCTTCCATCCTCAGTGCTCATCCTGGCATTTGGGATCTGAAGTCCTGTGCTTCTCAAGTTCCCGGAGGAGCCTCCCTGCGGGAGATTAGGAAATTCTGGCAGTGCATAATCTAATACTTTTTCCTCCACCCCACCAGTAAAATCAAGCCTCCACTTGATCCAGAACTGGAGTCGTGTGTCTTGCGGTTGGCTATGCATGGGGTTTTCACGATGGACATTGGGACTGGGGACGCCACCAAACAGGTAGGGAGCGATGGGCCACCAACTTGGATGGCTTTGAAAGAGGATTGGATAAATTCTGTACAGATGGTACATCACGCCAGTTAAGTTAGCAAAAATGTTTAAAGGTAGTAACAAAGTTGGAAATGCAAAGAAAAAGAAGGATCATTCTATCATATGTGGTGGGAATGTAAAAAGGTGAAATGTTTCTGGGAGATGATATATAACTAATTGAAAAAAATGTTGAAATATACATTCATAAAGAAACCAGAAGCATTTCTTTTAGGTATGGTTGGAAATGATATAAATAGAAAGGATTGTAAGCTTTTCTTATATGTGGTAACAGCAGCAAGAATATTATTAGCCCAAAAATGGAAGCAAGAAGAATTACCAACGTTGGAAGAATGGAGGATGAAGTTAATGGACTATGCAGAATTGGACAAGCTAACAGGAAGGATCCGAAACCGGCGGAACCAGAGGTTCACCGAAGACTGGAATAAATTTACGGAGTATTTGAAAAGTATTTGTGATGATCAGATGACGTTTGTAGGTTTCCAAAAAGTTCTGTGAGGAGTAATTTAAGAAATATTGTAAAAATGGAAAGGGAGAAATGATCTGTTAAGAAAGGTAAAGGCAATATTAAGTTAAGAACTGCAGATGAATTGATTATGACGGAGGATTATCAGAGGTGCTGACGGAAGTCAAACTAGAATATGTCTGTAATAATTTGTGTGGTATGTTTTTTAAAAAAATTGTATGCTAAAAACCAATAAAAAATATTAAAAAAAGAAAAGAAAGAGGATTGGAAAAATTCACGGAGGAGAGGGCTGTCAAACAGCTGCAAGCCGTGACGGCTGAGCTCTGCCATCCCAGTTGGAGGCCGCCATTCTTCCAAATACCAACTGCTAGAAAGGGGAAGAGTGCTCTTGGGCTCATGTTCTGCTCCCTGGTTTCCCAAAGGCATCTGGTTGGCCACTGTGAGCACAAGGATACTGGCCTAGATGGGCCATTGGCCTGATCCAGCAGGTTCCTTTTTATGCTCTTATGTAGGTAAATTCTTGTTGAACCCACAAACCATGGGGTTGCCAGCATGGCATTCCCTGGCACCCACAGGGTCATCTCCTCGGCTCCTTATTGAAATTAGACTTGAAAGAAGCATTCTATTGTACCCAACAGAATAGGCTGCAGGGTGTGTTGTTCCCACAGTTGTTACTCAATAATAATAATAATAATAATAATAATAATAATAATAATAATTTATTATTTATACCCCGCCCATCTGGCTGAGTTTCCCCAGCCACTCTGGGTGGCTCCCAATCAAGTGTTAAAAACAGTACAGCGTTAAATATTAAAAACTTCCCTAAACAGGGCTGCCTTCAGATGTCTTTTAAAGATAGGATAGCTGCTTATTTCCCTCACATCTGAAGGGAGGGCGTTCCACAGGGAGGGTGCCACTACCGAGAAGGCCCTCTGCCCGGTTCCCTGTAACCTCACTTCTCGCAATGAGGGAACCACCAGAAGGCCCTCGGTGCTGGATCTCAGTGTCCGGGCTGAACGATGGGGGTGGAGACACTCCTTCAGGTATACTGGACCAAGGCAGTTTAGGGCTTTAAAGGTCAGCAACAACACTTTGAATTGTGCTCGGAAACGTACTGGAAGCCAATGCAGATCTCTCAGAACTGGTGTTATGTGGTCCCGGCGGCCACTCCCAGTCACCAGTCTGGCTGCCGCATTCTGGATTAATTGCAGTTTCCGGGTCACCTTCAAAGGTACCCCACGTAGAGCGCATTGCAGTAGTCCTATTCACGTTTGCGCCCACATGCCCCCCCAAATTAGTGACCCCTACAGTACTATGTCAGGGGACGCGGGTGTCGCTGTGGTCTAAACCACAGAGCCTAGGGCTTGCCAATCGGAAGGTCGGCGGTTCGAATTCCCGCGACGGGGTGAGCTCCCGTTGCTCGGTCCCTGCTCCAGCCAACCTAGCAGTTCGAAAGCACGTCAAAGTGCAAGTAGATAAATCGGTACCGCTCCGGCAAGAAGGTAGATGGCATTTCCATGCGCTGCTCTGGTTCGCCAGAAGCGGCTTAGTCATGCTGGCCACATGACCCGGAAGCTGTCTGTGGACAAACACCGGCTCCCTCGGCCTATAGAGCGAGATGAGCGGGCAACCCCCGAGTCGTCCACGACTGGACCTAACGGTCAGGGGTACCTTTACCTTTACAGTACTATGTCAGATACATACTTGATTGCTTATCTTATTCATTTTTTAATAATAATTTTTATTAATTTTCTAATTTACATTTTAAAATATTCTTTAAACAATCTTTTTTTGGGAAATCGTTTTTATTTAATTTTACAAATATAAATTTATAACAAAACCAAATACGTATCCATATAACTCTCACGAACCCCCACCATCCCCTCCATGGGTCCTAATGTCAACATTTTCAACTGCGTATTATATCAGTCTTATTTTATATCTGTTCATATTGTCCATAGTATTTGTTACAATACAAGTGAGATTAAAATGATGCTAATGTTTTCATCTGTTTGCAGTGATCTCCTAAGTAAATTAAAAAAAAAAATCCCAGTAAATAAATGCTTTTTGTTGTCTTGGTCCCTGAGTTTTCCAGTCAGTTTTGCCATTCCTCTCTGGTAGGGATTCTTTCTTCTTTAAACAATCTCACATCAACATCTTCCCTTCTTCTCCTTCCGTGGTTCAGTTTGGTTCCGTGGTACATCCCTGCATATTTTACATAATCCAAACCATTCAGTATTCCAATATTGCATTCATCAAACTTATTTGCACTGTTGAATTTATCTTAACGCTACCAGCGTTTTCACATGTGCACAATTTTCAGCCAAAAATTCAATGAACATTGTCCAGTCTTCTTTAAATGTGTGCTCTGATTCCTTATCTTATTTGAATCCCTCGTAGTTTGCCCTCGGGGTGCAGTGGGCAAAGTTCTGTGCCCCTCAAAAAGGCACAAAGAGGCTAAAAAGAGGGTCTTGGTTATAGTTATAATAGTTATAGTTATAATCATAGAGTTGGAAGAGACCACAAGGGCCATCGAGTCCGAATATATATACTTGGTTATAGTTATAATAGTTATAGTTATAATATATATATAATTTATTATTTATACCCTGCCCATCTGGCTGAGTTTCCCCAGCCACTCTGGGCGGCTTCCAATCAAGTGTTAAAAACAGTACAGCGTTAAATATTAAAAACTTCCCTGAACAGGGCTGCCTTCAGATGTCTTTTAAAGATAGGATAGGTGCTTATTTCCTTCACATCTGAAGGGAGGGTGTTCCACAGGGCGGGCGCCACTACCAAGAAGGCCCTCTGTCTGGTTCCCTGTAACCTCACTTCTCGCAATGAGGGAACCGCCAAAAGGCCCTCGGCGCTGGATCTCAGTGTCCGGGCTGAACAATAACAGCATGTTCTCCCTTTGATGGCCGGACCTTAACGGCTCTGGGATGAAGCCTATTTGCAGGCATGCTTCGTTGGGGAGAAAATCCAGCTCTCACGCAGGGATTTCCCTTTTCTTCCAGGCGCTGTATAGAACAACTTCAGCGACACTCGAAATCCTGCTCAGGTCATTATTAGCAGAGGATCCGACCACCAAGCATCTGCTGAGGATCTTAAAAGTAAGTGCGTCTAAGAGAAATTGCGGCAAAGGAAGGCCTGGCAGGCAGATATCGCAACCTAAGCAGCAGTTGGTCTGCAAAATTACCCACCATGCATTCCTCCGTTGGCAGAGTTTGGGCATAATATTGTGATTTCCAGGCCCATGAATAACTGACTGAACCAAGACAGGTTTCAAAACAAAGATTCAGGGGAGAAACAACCAAGTAGACTAATATCTCCCAGTCCAGTCTATTAGGAGGTATTATTTTCTCCCTTGGGCACTCAGGGCCACTTATGCACTCACAGAATCAAACCGTGGTAAAGCTTTAGGGTGCAGGTGGGAGGTTATACCCTAGCAGAGCTGGCCCTGCCATTAGACAGAGTGAAGTAGCTGCCTCAGGCAGCTGGCTTTGGCCTTCACAGAATGGCAATGAATAGTTAGTCATTTAATTTATTTTTATTCTATTCTATTCTATTTATTTATTATTATTTTATTTTCACAAAGTAATAACCATGCATAAATGAGAATAAAAATGTGCGCCCCACCACGGAGACCATTCCATTGTAACTATCCAACCTCCCAAAATTTCAACACCCCTTTCCGTTTTAATAGTACTAATTCTACAAACACCCTCTATATCTCCTCAAAATCAATGCTCTTGGCATATCCCCCATCTTACCTTAATGGCACATTAAATTAACAATTAAGATTATTCTATTTTTATTGCCAGGGAAGGGCACTCGTTCTTTTCTACCTTGACTGAGGAGTGGGACAGCACTATCTGCTGCTCCACCTTGGGCAACCAACCAGATAGCTGCTCTCCTACAATATTTATTTAAAAAAATGCTTGAACATAGAAAATGAGTGGGTTTAGGATTCTGCCAAGCCTTATCCCTGGCATATGTGGCCACATGCTATGTTATGTGCTGAGTTGAATAGGATCCAAAATGCAGCAGTCTGATTGGTCCTAGAACAATAGGATTCAGAATGCAGCAGTCTGACTGGTCCTCAGGAGCCACCCAATCCAGCTCCAGGTGGAAGTGAATCCGCAACCTGATTGGCCTACAGGTGAATCCCGGAATTAGCCAATCACGTGCAGCCCATTGTGTAAATAATGTATATAAAGCAGACATCCTGGGGGAACTTCCATTCCTCCTCACCACTATGAGCTGAATAAAGAGCATGAAATCCACTCTGGATTCCGAGTATATTTCATGCTAATAGGGTACATCCAAGCTAAAATGCCACATTATTCATCAGGCACGAAGCATTGCAAGTCCACCACAAGTCATCCAGAGATAAGACAGTACCGTATTTTTCGGACTATTGGACGCACCGGTCCATAGGACGCACCTAGATTTGGGGGGGGAAATAAAGGCAAAAAAAATTTATCCCCCCCCCCCCCGCCAGGCGCGGGGAAGCCCGAGCTTCCCCCTCCCCCAGAACGGGACCCAGAGCCATGCCGAAGCTGCGCGCAGCTTTGGCATCGCTCTGGGAGCTTGCGGGGCTGGGGGAGGAGGAAGCCTTCCGCCAGCCTCCAAACCATGTCGGGAGACAGCGGGATGGCGCGCTGCGCCTCTCCCGCTGTCCCCCGAGTTTGCGGGGCTGGCGACGGGGAGGAGCAGGCTTCTCCCCCCGCCAGCCTTCTAGACAAGTCGGGGGACAGCGGCAAAGGCGCGCTGCGCCTCTCCCGCTGTCCCCCGAGTTTGCGGGGCTGGCGACGGGGAGGAGCAGGCTTCTCCCCCCGCCAGCCTTCTAGACAAGTCGGGGGACAGCGGCAAAGGCGCGCTGCGCCTCTCCCGCTGTCCCCCGAGTTTGCGGGGCTGGGCCAGCCTTCTAACCAAGTCGGGGGACAGCGGGAAGGGCGCGCTGCGCCCCTGCCACTGTCTCCCGAGTTTGCGGGGCTGGCGACGGGGAGGAGCAGGCTTCTCCCCCCGCCAGCCTTCTAGACAAGTCGGGGGACAGCGGCAAAGGCGCGCTGCGCCTCTCCCGCTGTCCCCCGAGTTTGCGGGGCTGGCGACGGGGAGGAGCAGGCTTCTCCCCCCGCCAGCCTTCTAGACAAGTCGGGGGACAGCGGCAAAGGGGCGCTGCGCCTCTCCCGCTGTCCCCCGAGTTTGCGGGGCTGGCGACGGGGAGGAGCAGGCTTCTCCCCCCGCCAGCCTTCTAGACAAGTCGGGGGACAGCGGCAAAGGCGCGCTGCGCCTCTCCCGCTGTCCCCCGAGTTTGCGGGGCTGGCGATGGGGAGGAGCAGGCTTCTCCCCCCGCCAGCCTTCTAGCCAAGTCGGGGGACAGCGGGAAGGGCGCGCTGCGCCTCTCCCGCTGTCCCCCGAGCTTGTGGGGCTGGCGGTGGGGCTCTCCTGAAGCGTGGAGGTTGTGGGGCTGGTGGGGGGAGAAGCAGGCTTGCTTCTCCCACCCCCAGCCTCCAGATCAGGTCGGGGAATAGCGGGATGGCGGAGCGCCGCCATCCCGCTATTCCACGACCTGATCTGGAGGTTGTGGGGATGGTGGGGGGGAGAAGCAGGCTTGCTTCTCCCACCCCCAGCCTCCAGATCAGGTCGGGGAATAGCGGGATGGCGGAGCGCTGCCATCCCGCTGTTCCCCGACCTGATCTGGAGGTTGTGGGGATGGTGGGGGGGGGGAGAAGCAGGCTTGCTTCTCCCACCCCCAGCCTCCAGATCAGGTCGGGGAATAGCGGGATGGCGGAGCGCTGCCATCCCGCTGTTCCCCGACCTGATCTGGAGGTTGTGGGGATGGTGGGGGGGGGGAGAAGCAGGCTTGCTTCTCCCACCCCCAGCCTCCAGATCAGGTCGGGGAATAGCGGGATGGCGGAGCGCCGCCATCCCGCTATTCCACGACCTGATCTGGAGGTTGTGGGGCTGGGGGGGGGGAGAAGCAGGCTTGCTTCTCCCACCCCCAGCCTCCAGATCAGGTCGGGGAATAGCGGGATGGCGGAGCGCCGCCATCCCGCTATTCCCCGACCTGATCTGGAGGTTGTGGGGATGGTGGGGGGGAGAAGCAGGCTTGCTTCTCCCACCCCCAGCCTCCAGATCAGGTCGGGGAATAGCGGGATGGCGGAGCGCCGCCATCCCGCTATTCCCCGACCTGATCTGGAGGTTGTGGGGATGGTGGGGGGGAGAAGCAGGCTTGCTTCTCCCACCCCCAGCCTCCAGATCAGGTCGGGGAATAGCGGGATGGCGGAGCGCTGCCATCCCGCTGTTCCCCGACCTGATCTGGAGGTTGTGGGGATGGTGGGGGGGGGGAGAAGCAGGCTTGCTTCTCCCACCCCCAGCCTCCAGATCAGGTCGGGGAATAGCGGGATGGTGGCGCTTCGCCATCCCCCTATCCCCCGAGCTTGTGGGACAGGGGGGGGAGAAGCAGGCTTGCTTCTCCCCCCGCCAGCCTCCAGATCAGGTCGGGGAATAGCGGGGTGGCGGCTCTGCGCCTCCCCGCTGTCCCCAGCTTTTGGGTGCAGGCTGCTGCCCGCAAGCCTTGCGAGCCCGCGGGATATCCCGCCGGGCTTGCAAGACTTGGGATAGCTTCCTGAAGCCTGGAGAGCGAGAGGGGTCGGTGCGCACGGACCCCTCTCGCTCTCCAGGCTTCAGCAAAAGCCTGCATTCGCACCATAGGACGCACACACATTTCCCCTTCATTTTTGGAGGGGAAAAAGTGCGTCCTATAGTGCGAAAAATACGGTAGATCCTGATCTACTTTCTGCCCATTCCTGAACTAAGGCATATCTATGAAGAGGAACAATTCATCCTAGGAGAACTCATGTGTCAGATGCACAACCTTCCATCTTGAGACATTTTGGTTGGTCCTAAAAAACCAAACAAAAAAACCCACTGCTTGTGGATTTTGGATTCTGGATCACTGCTGCTTCCTTTGTTTTGAGCAAAAGGGTTGCGTGAGACGTTGTACCAGTGCAATATTCCTGAGGTGTTGCTTCCTCCTGCAGCACATCCATTTTTGGATACACGCGAAATACAAAGTGGAGAGAATCAGAGCTATCAAAAGCAGTGCTGCGCTCCTGCGTTTTGCTGTCCTTATGCCAGATTTTGATGTAAGTGTGACCTCATATGCTGCCCCCTTTTGCTCTAGGGAGCAAATGTGAGAGCTGGTCTTTGTCGCTACAACCGATTTTTAGATTTATCCCGCCCTCCAGAGCCAATTCATATTGAGAGCTGAATGTTACTTTCAGTATCTTAGTCTTAAAGGAATAGGAGAGGGGAAAGCCAATAATTGAAGGGGTGGCGGCAGCTAGGAATGGCTTTGTTTGCATGACACTAGTATGCTCTTCTTGGGTCCCTTTGAGTGATAGCCCATATCTCGCAGGGATGCAGGTAGCGCTGGGTCTAAACCACTGAGCCTCTTGAGCTTGTTGATCAGAAGGTTGGCGGTTCGAATCCCCACAATGGGGTGAGTTCCCATTGCTCTGTCCCAGCTCCTGCCAACCTAGCAGTTCAAAAGCATGCCAGTGCAAGTAGATAAATAGGTACTGCTGCGGCGGGAAGGTAAACGGTGTTTCTGTGTGCTCTGGTTTCTGACACAGTGTCCCGTTGTTCCAGAAGCGATTTAGTCCTGCTGGCCACAACCCAGAAAGCTGTCTGTGGACAAACGCCGGCTCCTTTGTCCTGAAAGCGGAGATGGGTGCCACACCCAATAATCAAATTTGACTGGCCTTAGCTGTCCCAGGGGTCCTTTACCTTTTTACCTCTCTGCTCCCATCCACACCATTGGGTTCTTCCTGGCATTCCTAGTTGATAGGTGCATTGGGGTTCCTCTTTTGGCTTGAACTGTGTGGACTTGCTGTTCTGGCAAAATACACGGAGGCCCTACATCCATCTTCTCACAGTCCCATCCAAAGGACATAGAGGAGGCTATGTTCTCTGGAAGTATCTGTCTAACTTAGTCCATTGCTGTCAACCGTCCCTTATTTGGCGGCAAAGTCCCTTATCCCAGCGCAGTGTCCCGCTGCTGTCCCTTATTGATGATGTCCCTTAAATTTCCCGGGTTTCAAAGGAAGCAGCTCCTCTCCCTCCCTCCCTGCCGGCCAGGGAGGAGGGCGGCGCCAACTGTGTTGCTTGGCTGCGTTACTCACCCAATAAGGAGTCTAAGAACGACTGGGGGGTGGAGCTTGTATGCCTTGTGCCAATCAAATCGAACACGTTGCCTGGGGACTCGCCTTTGCTCAGCGCTTCCCAGCGGAGAGGTGACGGTGGTTTTCCTTGTTGCCGGGTTGCTGCCCTGTGGGAACCACTGCTTGAGGCTTCGTTTGGCTGCTGGCTGGGCTTTCTGCCTTTGGCTCGGAGGGGGTCAGAGGTTGAACATACCCGTGCTCTGAAAATCCCTTATTTTGGCTGCTGATCCCTTATTTTCGAGGCTGCTGGTCCCTTATTTTCAAATCTGTAAGTTGACAGCTATGACCTAGTCTGCCCATTTTGGAGCTGCAAAGTATTATTTTAAGAGTTTCTGCGAAGGGCTTAGATTTTGAGGCTAGGCGTACCCATTAAAGATAAAGATGATCTGACAGAGAAGTGGGGGACAAAGATCTCTCTGGTTTTCCTTCTTGCTAGGCTACCTGCAAACTCCCAGAACTGGGGCACCATGTGGCAGAGCTGGCAATTTGTATTGGGGACCCCCAAGCAGCAGTCAGCCGACATGCCAAGGAGAGTATCTTCCGTCTCTACGAGCTGCTCCTGCACCAGAAAGGCAAGTAAGCTGGAAAAGTTGCAACAACAGTCCCATGCTTAAATATGATGGAATACATTAAACACCTTAGTTTTACGCGCTAGTGAAATATGATTAGAACCTCTGGTCTCAGTTCATAGTGTGTTTTCCCATTAGTATCAGTTGAGTCTCATGTTGACTCTCTGGTGATGGTGCATTTCCCGCAAAGCTGACTCAGCGGGGAAGAAAGAAGCTGTTGTCTTGTTCAGTTGTATTTCACAATGTTATACTCTCCCCCCTTTGCCAGTAAGAGAGCCCACCCTTTGAGCAAAGATGGTGGGAGATCAGCATGCAAGAGGAGGGCAACCAAAATGGTCAAAGGCCTGGAAACGATGCCTTATGAGGAACGGCTAAGGGAGCTGGGCATGTTTAGCCTGCAGAAGAGGAGGTTAAGGGGTGATATGATAGCCATGTTCAAATATATAAAAGGATGTCACATAGAGGAGGGAGAAAGGTTGTTTTCTGCTGCTCCAGAGAAGCGGACACGGAGCAATGGATCCAAACTACAAGAAAGAAGATTCCACCTAAACATTAGGAAGAACTTCCTGACAGTAAGAGCTGTTCGACAGTGGAATTTGCTGCCAAGGAATGTGGTTGGAGTCTCCTTCTTTGGAGGTCTTTAAGCAGAGGCTTGACAACCATATGTCAGGAGTGCTCTGATGGTGTTTCCTGCTTGGCAGGGGGTTGGACTCGATGGCCCTTGTGGTCTATTCCAACTCTATGATTCTATGATTCTAAGAGCATTTGACATTCCTCCATATAAGCCAGAATTTGACCTTCATTTCTGGAGTCTTGCCTCAGAGGCTGATACCAAAATGAGACGCGAGGTTGCTAGAGAAATTCCCTAGGAGGGAACTCTCGAGGTGGATCTTGCAAACATCTTCATAAAAAAAAGTAATAGAATACCATCCAAAGGAAACAGAAAGGCCTAAATTCGTTTTCATTCGATCATTTAAATATTTATAATCTTGACCAAATGCACCCAAGGTGGTGAACAAATTGTAAGAACAGGTATCCATCAAAGTACGTAGTTGTGCTCTGGCAGAGTCTTCTGCCTGCTCTACAGGGCTTCCTCACCTTCTCCTCTACCTGTGTGCCCCATAAATCGGTTTCTGGGGGCTTCCCTAATGCTCCAGAGGAGATTGGGGAGGGCACAAGGGGTGTACAGGAAAAAGAGAGAGAGGAGGAAGTCCTGTTGCGCAACAAGACATCCTTGTTCTAATGGGACTACTTTGTTGACTACTGCTCATAAAAATGCAATACAACAAAAAATAGAATTTTAAGGAACCAGCTGGACGTTAACATATAATCCCACCAATCTAAAAAAAGTTTCCAAAGCCATCAGAATAAATTATGTCTGAAAAGCCCTAAACCCAGAAATGGGGAGCCTGTGGCTCTTCCAGATATTGTTAAGTCCTATCCCCAGGAACCCCAGCCAGCATGCCCAGTGGTCAGTCGCAACATGTAGCTCAACAATACTTGAAGAAGACGAAATTAATGGACTATGGCAGAACTGGACAAAATGACAGGAAGGATTCAAAACCTGCGGGACCAGAGATTTACAGAAGATTGGAAGAAGTATATTAATTATTTGAAGAGCAACTGTAATCAACAAATTATGCTAGTAGGACTACAAGAAGTTTTGTAAGGAGAAATATACAAAGTGTTACAAAGTAGAAAAAGATAGAGATATTAGTTATGAGTTTGAAATGTAACAGGGAAGATAAGAAATGCATACTGAGAGATTACTGTAGATTGGAAAATTTTCAGACAGGATTGATGGAAGTCAAAAAATTGAATAAGATGTAAAAGTATGTTTAATTACTGTTGCAAATGATATGTTTAAAAAAAAACTAATAAAATTTATATTAAAAATAAATAAATACTTGAAGGACCACAGTTTCCCCATCCCTGCCCCAAACCTTTAAGTATGGAACGACAAAGCTTTTAACTCCTGGTGTCTTACTGTCAGGGATACGCATGAATAATGCCGAAGAACTCTGGTGCAGGAGGTACCAAGAAGAGAAGAAGATGCTCTCTTACATAAACATGATGAAAGTTGGAGAGGTAAAGGTGTTCCTTCAATGCTAGAAGCCCCCCTTTCAATACAAAACCACTCAAATGTCTGATAGATTTCTTGCTCCACTTAAGAAATCTGGGTTGCTTTCTTTTACCCTTCTCTGCCTCCAGGAAACACCAGGATCAGCTTAAGGGGTTTTTGGCAGAAGTGTGTGAAGAGACACATTGGGAGATATAATTGCAATGCAGTCTTTGACAGTATCATGGGCAGACGGGACAACATCCTGTCTCAAGGATGTCAAAGTTGTGATAATAGAAAGAAGGGAAGAAGAAGCAGGGATCGTTTAATGAACATGCAGCAATCCGAAGACTGCTTCATTTTGGTTTCTTTGCTTTTAGGTGTTTGGGACATTCTTCAATGAACAACAAAGAAGATCCTTTCTAAGAACAGCTTTGTTAGCTATTTATAGTCCGGACCGGAGGGTCAGTGAAGCAGGGATCCTCCTTGTTTATTCTATCCTTGGGAATGCAGAAGAACTAATGGATGTGGAGGTGAGTTACTAAATTAAGCTTTCTGTGAAAAAGTATATTATAAAGGACAAATCTTCCTTCAGGATGAAAAAAAAAAAAGACTTCTGACTCTTTTGGGATTCCCCTCACCCCTCAATCTCTCCAGGAAAAACAAGTAAAGAAAAAAATATGGCATCAGCTCCACAAATTTCGAGTTTGCAATGAGTTGCCTGTGGCGGTACAAAGCCTCTCTGCAAGCAAAGGTAATGTCTATTTCTAGTTACGGGGAACACTACCAAAGATATGGAATAATTACAAGCTGTAATTATCTACTTATAAAAGACGACTATCCATAGCTTCAACCAGTCTCTTAAGACACAAATTGCCTAAATTTATTGTTGAATTGTGTGTGATCCGGATAGAGGAGGAATTAGATTCGGTGCGCAATTAAAGGCGAATCTATCCAATTCACACTTTTCAAAACAAGATGCAGACCGAAAAACAGTTGAAATTCCGTTTCTCCAAATTTTGCAGTGCCATTTTCTAGCCACGCAATGTGTACAAAAAGATATGCACTCATGTAGTGTGCATGCCTGCTAACATCAACCCATAACCGATGCGTCCACATTTTAGCACCAATCCGCGGTGGCCAACTGGTTAGAGGTTTGGACTACAACCAAGGAGAGCCGGGTTCAAATCTCCAGTCAAGTCTGTGGGTGACCTTTGGCCAATCATTCTCTCTCCACCTAATTTACCGTTTGTGATCTCCTTGAAGGGGTGGGATGATGTTGACGATCTATACGGACCCCTCCCAAACATTTTCCTAAGTCAAATGAAGCTGGTATAATTCAAACTGCCTTCTCTTCGTTTCCACTCAGGTGACGTGCTGATGGAGGATCTTGATGATTACGTACAGTTGTAAAACAACCGCCCACATCTCTCCATTTTCTGTCCCCCCTCCCCTCTTCCTTTCTCCCTCCCTCCCTTTCTTCCTTATGTTTTCTCCAGGTGGCTATGTGGGGCCAGAGCTTTTGGGTTTCACAGGATCTCCAGAGCTCGCTTAAAAGAAAAAAAACATTTCCCCTATTTTCCACGGAGATGGATTTTCTTCCCTCTGGACAGATGGAACAGCTTCCTTTTGGGAAGAGGTGAGAGCACGACTTTTCTCTTTCATCTTTTGGCTTGCGAGTGTTTCATCCCTTCTGTGGGAGGTGTCCAAACCTCCAGTCTATAGGATGGGCATTCTGTGGGTTAAACCACAGAGCCTAGGACTTGCCGTTCAGAAGGTCGGCGGTTCGAATCCCTGCGATGGGGTGAGCTCTCGTTGCTCGGTCCCTGCTCCTGCCAACCTAGCAGTTCAAAAGCATGTCAAAGTGCAAGTAGATAAACAGGTACCACTCTGGCGGGAAGGTAAACGGCGTTTCCGTGTGCTGCTCTGGTTCGCCAGAAGCGGCTTAGTCATGCTGGCCACATGACCTGGAAGCTGTACGCCGGCTCCCTCAGCCAGTAAAGCGAGATGAGCTCTGCAACACCAGAGTCGGTCACGACTGGACCTAATGGTCAGGGGTCCCTTTACCTTTACTATATTGGATGCTGCTGCTGCTTCTTCCTCCTCCTGGGTCACGTTCAGAGTTGCTTTCTGGAAAAAGCCTGATGTGCATAGGGGCAAGAACCAAAAGCATCCCTTGCTTGCTAGATCCAGGTGGCCCCACCATCCCTCTGGAGAGAAGAGGGGCAGATATCCACTGCTTATGCTCAGTTGGGGCCCAGAGAAGGCTGGCCTATTAGGGCAAGAACTGTCCAACTAATTTCAACCTTAGCCAGCAGCCACCTGCCTGTCTTCTTGTGTACATTTAATCCAATGATGGTACTTCCTTGTCAAGCTTATCCTTCCTTTGTGTTGCCACTGTAGGACTTCGTGTAGTGGAGGATGGGGACCAGACTAGAATCAGCTGGCTCTGCCTTTCGTTGGGCTCTGGCGCCACCTACTGTCGGGCTCCTTGCCTTCCGCCCCATCAGCTCCAATGTGGCTTCCTGGCAGCATTTTTCATCACCACGCTGGCTGGGTAAATGTAATCCCACCATCCCTCTGGGAAAGGGGGACACATTTCTCTGCTTCTGTCCAGACCACCAGAAGGTGGCCCTCAAGAAATGGCTGGAGGAGACTGGGACACACAGGGCTGAGAAGCGTAAAGCAGGACACTGTGTGGGTTTTCTCCTGCCCCTTATTTTCATTGCTTGCCTTGCTGATTAACGCTATCATCCCCACCATTCCTGTGCGAGAAGGGAAAGAAAGGGGACAGATTGCTGTTTTCGGCTTAACTGCTGCAAGGAATGAGTTGGAGGAGAAAGCAACAACAAAACAGATTTGTTTCCCCCAGAAAAATAAAGATGGCAAGAAGACATATTTGAAAAGTAACAGGAGATATGGAAACAGATTAACACTAGCAAATACGAGGAACTTAATGTCTCGGGAATTTCAGAGTTTTGAAAATTATATTTTAAAGCAAGATACAGTCACAACGATTAATGCGGCAGAAAACAGATTGGGTAGCAGACTGGCAATATTGGAGAATCAATTTATAGTCCGGGAATAAATACGGATAGTTTTTTTAAAAAGGAAAATGTAACTGAAAAAGCAGTAGAAGACAGAAAACATAAATATGGCTTTCACAATTTTGGAAGAAGGATGAGATTTATTATACAATCATACAGAGGTGTTTGGGGGAGGGGAAATAAGGAACATTTTAATTTCAGAGGTTTGAATGAGAAAGCTGAAGATGTAAAAGCATATTTGAATGAGTTTTCTGCAGGATAGTAGTCTCCAAGTAGAAATGGTAATTGATGTGGTCTTCAGCACTATTTCCAAAATCTCTGAATCACACTTGATAGTTGTCAAGGTGAACTGATTGTAAATGAAGTTCCTTTTGCAGTGGAAATTTGGGCAATTTTTAAATAAACTCAGTTTGAATATATATATATATATACAGTGGTGCCCCGCAAGACGAACGCCTCGCAAGACGGAAAACCCGCTAGACGAAAGGGTTTTCCGTCGCGGAGGCGCTTCGCAAAACGAATTTCCCAATGGGCTTCCTTCGCAAGACGAAAGCCCATAGGGAAATCTCCGGGACAGCGGGGAAGCGCAGCGCCTCGTCCCCACTGTCCTCGGACCTCCTTTAAAGGGTGCACAGGAGTTGGGAGGTGGGGAAGTGAGCCTCACTGCACAAGCAGAAATCCTTGCCTAGGACACCTGCTGACGAAGTTCATTAGGTGAATAGCACCCTAAGTGTGCAATGATGTTTTCTCCATCTTCAGGGGTCCTCAAACGTTTTCAGCAGGGGGCTGGTTCACTGTCCCTCAGACCTTGTGGGGGCGGCGGACTATATTTGGAAGGGGGGAAATGAACGAATTCCTATGCCCACTGCACATACAGTGGTACCTCGGGTTACATACGCTTAAAGTTACAGACTCCGCTAACCCAGAAATAGTACCTCGGGTTAAGAACTTTGCTTCAGGATGAGAACGGAAATCGTGCGGCGGCGGAACGGCAGCAGCGGGAGGCCCCATTAGCTAAAGTGGTGCTTCAGGTTAAGAACAGTTTCAGGTTAAGTACAGACCTCCGGAACGAATTAAGTACTTAACCCGAGACTGTATTGTATTTGCTGGCACCAATCAAAGCCCAGCCCCCTTCCTCCGCAGGGTGAGGAGAAGCCAGGAGGGAGGGAGGAGGTGCCATCGCCGCGAGGGAAAGAACGCGCGTGCTGGTGCAGCCCAAACGATCAGATCCACACCCATTCCCGGACCGCCCGCAGGCCAGATTTAGAAGGCTATTGGAACGGATCTGGGCCTTAGTTTGCCGACCCATGGTCGTCTTGATATTTTATAGTTTAGCAGAGCAGCTTGTAACACGCTGAAGGCTGTGAAAAAATGTGGAGGACCACATGAATGAATTGTGAATTGAACTGGAATGGAATTACCGTATTTTTTGCTCTATAAGACTCACTTGTTCTCTCCTAAAAAGTAAGGGGAAATGGGTGTGCGTCTTATGGAGCGAATGCAGGCTGCGCGGCTATCCCAGAAGCCAGAACAGCAAGAGGGATTCCTGCTTTCACTGCGCAGCGATCCCTCTTGCTGTTCTGGCTTCTGAGATTCAGAATATTTTTTTCTTGTTTTCCTCCTCCAAAAACTAGGTGCGTCTTGTGGTCTGGTGCGTCTTATAGAGCGAAAAATACGGTAGTTCCTTTTTGGCAGGGGTGAACTGGAACTGAGCCTGCACACCAATAGGACTTTGTTCTTCCACAAGCAAAGCAGAGAGCTTGAAAGCTATTATTGCACTAGGTTTGCCCAGCACAGAAAGAGCTTTAAAGCTCCATTCCTTGCTTGCTTTAACTTGCCAGATTTTAACCAGCGGCCTTCAACTATCTATGGCTGAAACATTGCAAGTTACACACGTAAGATGCAATCGTATTGCATGGCTCAGTTATCTGTTACTGTGTAATACTGTCTAAATGCTGATTAAATATTTGTATGCTGTTTTATGAATGTGCCGTGTTCCCCAACTAGATGCTTTGTTTATGGTGTGCTATAGAAACTTATAAATAAAATAGCTTAACAATGCTGTTAACACACTTCTTTCCTTTTCGGTACTTTATTTCCTCGTGACACAAAATACCACATATGAGAAAAGAAAAGCACCCAAATGCTCCAACACAAAGTACCTGAGCAAAGACTGAAGGCAAAAAATGTACATTATGACACCCAAAAGCACTTGAGCAAAGTAGAAATACAGTCAATAATATTCAGATGGTCAGTTGAATGACACTTTTCAAATAAAAACAGTATAATTTATGACAAGTATCACTATACAGTACAAAGAGAGCATGAATGTTTTGTCGTGATAGATTGTACAAAATTTTGTATAATGTATGCACATCTTAAAAAATGAATGTTTATGTATACAGTAGAAGTAAGCCTGTTATGGAACACATGAGCGGTTCACTCCCAAAATCAGTGTCAAAGCGCATGTGCAGTTTTCCACTAGTGCAAAAGGTGTTCATTACCATTTCATGTAGGTTCATCAACAGAGTCATGCGCACGTCAGTCAAACTGATCGTCCCTATGCCCAATTCCATCAACATTCATACCAACTCCCCCACTCCCAATATAAATTTGCAAAATTACACTGCTTTGATATCCCCACCAGTTTCAAATCCTACACTGCATACTGGGGTTGACCTGTTCCCCCAGGTCACTTCCACCATGGTCACTTCCACCATGTTAAGTAGAACATGAGAGACGCCACACAATCGTGTGGGATGCAGCACAAGGCTGACTGCAGAGTGGAGGAACTGGAAGAAATTTGGAGACGTGGAATGGAGCTTGGATCTTACACAAGTAGGAGACACCATTGTTCACACAAGAACATTGCTGCTTCCAAGCCAATGATTGTCTTTAAATTGTATGGAAAAATAATTTTGATGGGAATCACGTCAGCTTTTTAAAACTGAAATTATCAAAATGTTTCAAGATCATCTCTTCCACACCTCTTTCCTGGATACTCCACTCAATAACCATACATCTTTAATTCATTCTTGTATTGAAAATTATCAAGTTAATAAAATGGAATGATATGATAGTTTGGCAGACGTGTTTGTTGTTGTTGTTGTTCCATTCATTTCTTTTAATTATTTCAGATATAAGAATGAACACACACATCTTTAGTGAATATCTCCTTTAAAAAAGATGCTTAGAAGAGATGTCCTTGAAAAAACGAAAGGGGTTGTTTTATAGAAAAAGCAGACAAATGAAGAGAATAAATAAGCTTAGTATTTTAAAGAAATGTTGGAAGCAAACAGATGAAGAAGAATCCAACACAAATGCATTTAAACTTTAGGAACTATTTGCAATAAGAGGATTTTAAAAATACACCCCCCTTTCCCCCCAGAACACAGCTGTTAACAAAGGGTGTGAAGAACTTGAAAGGTTAAACATAAGATTTTAAAGCAGTATTTGGCAACAATCGTGTAGATGGCCATGCCATCTGAGGTGGGCAATTTCAGTGAGGCTCCCCTGTTTATGGAATGCTCTCCTCAGAGGTTCACCTACTTCATTGTCCATTTGGCAACAAGCAAAGGCCTTCTTACTTTCAGAACTTTTAAGATGCAATTTTCATCCTGTTTTACGCTTTTCTTTTTGTATTGGCACTTTAACTGTTTTATTATTGATTGCAAGACAGTATAGAAATAATTAGCTGTGGGCTTCTGTGCTCTTTTCCCCTTCTGGCGCAGCTGAGGAAGCCTTTGTGTTCGTTTTTGATAAACTGCAGTTTACGATCTCATCTGAACCCAGCAAACTATGACTTGTTTGAAACAGGCCAGCTTCAAACCATGTGCTACGAAGCTGGCTTATTTGCAAACAAAGCATTGTTAAGATTATCTGGTTTGTTGGATTTGGACAAAGTGAAAGCTTTCAATCTACTTGTGACTGTGCTAAAGGAGGGCAATAGGAGCCGAAGACTTGCCTGGGCTCGTTCATTTCACAATAAACCACAGCTCACTGTGATAACGGAACACATCTTTTGCGCAATACTGACTCAGAAGTTTAACTGCTTCCCTCAAGAGATCTGTGTCTTTCAGATGTAAACACAGACCTCCTGTTTATGTTAGCCGTCAATGTTTTCAATGGGTTTTTTTTGGGGGGGGGGCAAATATGCACATAACGTGAAATACATGTATGGATTGACTCCATCTACAGAAAACCCACTGGAGGAACAAGACATTTTGGGCGTGGTAGGTCTGTATGTGCACTGTAGTGACCATGCCCATAACCAAGTGTTGAAACAGGGTGACCCAACTTTGATAATGCATCAGGGCATTGATGAAGCCCCTGTTTCCTTTTACCAAACGGTGGCACAATACATTCAGCTTTAAACTGGACTCAAACAATTCAGTCTAGTGCTACAGATAGTTACAAATGCAATTAGTTAATTTAAGGCATGCGCTTGACTGGAAAAGTGGGAATTTAAATCAGGTCAGGTTTCACTCTTTAGGGTTTTGCACGGTATTCTCACATATTTATTTCACTTCTGAATCCACACACTAAAGTGGAGATATTTCTTCATACAAAACACATTAGGTTTATCAGCATTGTCAGTTTAAGAGCTAAACACAGATCCAAACTCAACAAAGACCTATACGCCACTGCTTGTCAGTTGTTGCTCCTGCTACTACTTCCTCCCACCCCAGTTTTTTGCTATCACAAGGCCGGTGTCAAAATCAGTAAATTTTGCAAGCTCCTAATAAAGCAGCCATATGTGGCTGGCGGGTTACACATTGCAAAGGCCTACTGTAAAACTCTTAAGACATTTTAGTGAGATTCTAAAACAAGAAATTCTTTTAGACAAGGTTGCCAATTCGTCAAGTGTCACATCAACAAGTAATGTCCTGTATTACAGAGCGCTGCACAGAATTGGGCCGAGATCCTTAAATTAAGCTTCGTGTCTTGCTTAAATACATGAACAGCCAACTCATTTTGGTGAAATAATGACTACAACTGAGAGAGCTTTATAAGGTGTGCTCCAGGACCTTCACACACAACTGCTGTAGTTCTGACTTTCCATCTTTAGAAATTCCTCCCCATTCTGCATGAAAATGCTACTTGGTTTTAGTAGTATGTCATGCACAGTACGAGGAGCCACTATTTAAAAAGTGCGTCTGAATGTGTCGGTTCTATGGATTGGGTCTCAGGGTACCTGGGCTTTCATACAGTCCTCACGCATTACTGAAAGACTGTAGAATTTGCTCCTATATAACGTGCATTATTTGGGATATGGAAAGTGCTGCCATTTTGAATTTAAACTTTTGGTAAAATTGGGCTAAGACTGAAATCCTACAGACGCTCACTTGTGAGTAAGTTCTATTAAACTTAATGGAGCATCCCTCTAAGTAGGTATGTGTGAAAGTGCTCTGTAAAACTCTATATCCAGTATATAAACAAGATGCTTCATAAGGAAGGTTTTCCTGTAGATAATCTGAACTATCGTAAATCCTTATTACGCAG